TCATTTTAGTAACTTTTTCTTTTGATAGTATCAGTTTTGAAAATTGTATTTGAGTTTTATTAGTTTGGTTGTATGGCGAGCGTCTCAGAGAAAAATAAGGTTACAACAGGTGAGGAGGAGACGTCGCAGTCTACTAGTGATGTGGAACCATCACGTGGCCAAGTCAATTTCGAAGCAAATTTGGCCGACTTTCTCTTGAGATGTTAAGGTTTTTGTGTCAAGGGATGGGTATTTCTGATGCTGGTCTGAAACAGGAGTTAGTTGGTAGATTGGTTAACGAATGTAAGAGGAAAGAGGAGTCTTCTGGTGATTGGTTTGCGAAGGGAAGGGCTGTGAACATAGAAAATGAGATGGGGGATATTGAGTCGTTTCCGAATGCTCGTGATGATGGGCACATGGCCGGTGGTAGTAATTTCGTTGATGAAAGTCTGAGAGAGAAAACACCTAGTTTTAAACAGTCTTTGCGGTTTCCTGGGGCTAAAGAAAAGTTCATGTCAGATTGTGACAGTGAGGATTCTGGTTTGTGGGGGAAACGTAACTTGTCTAAAGCTAGGAATCAGTGGGAGTTCAATGAGTGGTACAAGGCTGGTATGCTTATGGACAAGGCGTTGAGTACAGGAGAGATTCATTATTTGTTGCTAGCTAGACAGGTTGTGTTGGAAAGAGCGTACGTGGTCAGGGTTGCAGATGAGGATGGTTGGGGAGTAGCTGCAAAGATGGCTTCAAATGATTTGCTGGATCCAATGTTGCAGCTTTTTGGAGGAAAGAGGGAAAAGGCAAGACTGGCAGTGCAAAGTTTGTCAAAGAATAAGAAGCCTAAGGTCAGTCATGATAGGAGTCAGAAATTCGAGGGTGAGAGAAGCACTTATCAAGGCTGTATGCCGAATTTACAACAGGGACAGCCTATTGCTTCTGTTTTCCTGCAGGCACATCCGTCAATGATACCAACCTGGCAACAGGTGCCTAATTTGCAAAATGCAGCTGTGACTGTTCCTGGGTTCGTGTTTGGTGGTTTAAATCCGTTTGGTGCTGGACAGGTTTCGTTTCAGAATGGGCTCTTGCAGAGTCCGCTTCCAGAACCAGGGTTTTTAAAGCAGGGTGGCAAGGCTTTGCCTGTGTCAAGCTTAGGTGAAAATAGAAGATTTGAGTCGGCAAAGAAGGTTGTTTGTTTCTTGTGTGAAGGAAAGGGGCATTATGCGAATGAGTGTGGTTTTCATAAGCATTTGAGTATGCCCTTTCGAGGTGATGGGTCTAAGTCGAAAAGAAGCTGACAACACTCAGAAGATGAATTTGAGGGTAGAAGAAGAGATGTTAGTGGTCTGCAATGAGAAATATGTTACAGAAAGGTTACATTCAGAAACAGCAATAAAGTATTGGAAAGAAATAATAAAACCTGCTTCGTTGATAATCAACTGGTTGGAAAACAAAATTTCGCTCTTTCTAAAAGGTGTTATGAGTCTTGCAACACAAGAGGTTCCAAGGTCGTGGCCATTTTCGATGGAAGAAAAAGAATGGATAAGAGCGAGTTGGAAAGATTGAGAAAGGCTGGTGCGATAGAACTAGTTTTTTAAGGCAAGTTGAGACTGGAGATGCTGCTTGAGGTGAGCCCAGTGTTTGTAGTACCCAAACAAGGGTCAAAGAAATTTTGTCTTGTAATAGATCTCAGAAGATTGAACAAAACTCTCTCAAAAAAGACATTTAAGTTCTAGGGCATAGGTTCGCTTTTGAGAACCGTGGGCAGGAATTGGTGGATGTTAAACTTCGATCTGAAGGAAGGTTACTACCATGTATTGATGGATGATGTGGCACAACGGTTTCTAGGTTTTTGCTTTAGTGAGATGTGGTTTTTTACAGGGTTCTTTCTTTTGGCCTGAATCAGTCCCTGTGGATTTTCTCCAAATTAATGAAGGCAATGATAGGAAGTTGGAGATCAAGGAGAATTTTCTGTGGGAATTATCTGAATGATGTGTAGGTGGCACATCCATCAAAGGAAACATTGTTGAATCAAAGAGACTTGATTGTAGCAAGAAATTTAGAAGGATGTGGTTAGATTTGGGCAAAGAAAAAAGGAAGTTGGGACCTGATCTAGAAGCCAAAATTTTGTGGCCTGGTTGTGGACACAGTAGAGGGACTGGTTGTTGCTCCAGAGGAGAAGATTATTACAACAGTTGTGCAGTTGGAAGCTTTGTTAAAGGGTTTGGTTGTATCGATAAGGAAGCTAGCATTGGTAGCTAGAAGGATTCAAAGACTAGCAAAGGCCTTTTCTCTAGCTTGGGTTAAGTGTTTAAAATTTTACAAACTAATAGATGCAAGAAGCTGTTGTTGAAATGATTGGGATATGAAGGTTATACTATCGACACAAGCTATAGAAGATGTGCATTGGCTTGTGAAGAACCTGAGAATTTGGAATGGTTGTCTTGTGTGAAAGTCATCAAGGGTGAAGATAGTTTTCGTGAATGCATCAATGGTGGGTTAGTGTGGTGTGTATCAGAATTCAGTGGCAGCTGGCAATTGGGCTCGAAATTTGACAGCAGATGTTATAGCCCAACTTGAAGTTATCATAGTTCTTTGAGTCTTGCAGTCTTTTAAAATTCAACTGAAAGGATCTTGGGTCATGTTAGTGATAGACAACAAGGTAGTGGGAAAGACTGTAGTGAATGGGGGTTCATCGCAATGACAAAAGGACATTGTCAGGGAGATTTGGAGGGTGTGTGTTAAAAAAGATATAGAAATATATCGTACGAGATGGGTGGCAAGCGAAAAAAACCCGACAGACAAGTTATCAAGATTAGTAGATGTAGGTGATTGGAAATTGAAGCAGCAGGTAGTGGATCGATTACAGGAATGATAGGAGGTTTTCGATGTAGACAGGTTTGTGAGTCATTTGAATACAAGGCTAGAAAGGTTCAACAGTCTTTATCTCTGTCCAGGAATGGAAGTAGTAAATTGCTTCACACAAGATTAAAAAGAATGCATAAACTACTTATATCTACTGTTTGGCCTGATTTATTGGTTATTAGTACATATGAAGGAGTGTGGTGCCAGTATAGTGATTATTGTTCCAGTTTAGGTTGTGGCATCATGGTAGTCTTTGATCATGCAAGCGGAAAGGAAGGAGATAGAGTTGCCACCTCCAATAGAGATAGTTCAACCAGGTCTATTGGGTTGTGTAGAACCATGCAACAACAATCATTGGAGACTGATAGCAATTCAGATGGACTGGTCAAGGACCTCTTGAGACATGCAGATGGTTTGGCAAAAAATGTGATTAGCAAGGCTTATAGGAAGAGGTTGGACAAGATGTGAAAGCTTTTCGTTGAGTTTACTAGGCAGGTAAAACATGTGACTTGTCTTGTCTTAGACTCTACAATAATAGACTTTTTGGCTTGGATAGAAATGTCTGGGTGTGGTATAGTGGAGTTGCAAGAATGTATGGCGACAATCATGAGGGTATATAAATTAAAGGATTTGCAAGATCCTACTAAGATCATGATGGTCCAGTCAGTTGTCAATAGCATAAAAAGAACCAGGGCTGTGGATGCAGAAGTGAAGTGGCCTAGAGATCCATTGCCTATAGAGGTTGTAAAGTGTTATTTAAACTTTCCTCCAGAGGGTGTTAGTTATGAGATGTGGGCTTGTGATTTGGCATTAGTAGCCTTGGGTTTAAGAACAATGAGGCATCTTGGAGAGCTTTGTAAGTTAAGAAAAAAGAATTTGGAGTTAAAAAATAAGTTACTGTGGATAAGGATTAATAAGTTGAAGACAGATCAGTTAGCAAATGGAAGGTTTGTTTCAGTGGAGGTGTCTAACAGTAGATATTGTCCAGTTAGAAGAATAGTTAAGTATTGGAAGGTAAGGCCAGAGACAAAGGATGATGCCCCTTTTTTCCTGTCGAAGTCAAGAGGAAAGATGTCAGTGTCATCAGTTACAGCGGTAGTTAAGCATGTAGCAGAGCATGCGAATTTGAAAGGGAAGTTTACAGCTTACAGTTTGAGAATTGGGGGGCTACAGCAGCCATGAAGAGTGGAATGTCATTGGAACAGATTTAAGCCATTAGAGGATGGGTTTCAGATGCTGTTAGATTGTATGTGAGATCAGTGAGGACAGTCGAATTGGAAGCATCGACTTTAATGGGTTTTACAGATTAAGTTGTTGTGTGTTAGTTTAGGGTAGGTGTGTGCTGCGAGTAGTACAATATTATGAATCATTACAAGTTTTTCATATGATACTCTGGAAGACCTATATATTGTTCTACATAGTTTTTTGTACACAGAAATAAGAGACAAACAAAATAGCTGCTCGATACGTAAGTATTAAGGCAGCTTTTGTCTTGAATTATGTACTATCTGATCAAACATGTGATAGGCCCATTTATGGTCACATGTTCGATCAATGATCGATCGATTAAATGAAAGTATGAGGTAATTAATTGATTAAAATATGACCATTGAGTTAGTATCTTGGTTAGTATGAGGTAATTGAATAATTAGATAATAATAAGGTAATTAGGTAGTAATTGAGTAAATATGAGGTAATTAGTTTGTAGTATATTAGTAAGGTTTGGGAAAATGTGGTAAGATAATTTTGTCTTTTCTGCGAACCCGACTTTCGTTCTGGTTACATCAATCCTATCCACCCTTCTCACAAGTTTATTTTGTTTGAGTAGATCGACCTGCTAGGATAGCAGTCTTTTGAAGATAGGCAGGGATGGGTAGGATATCTAGTTATATAAGTTTGCGATTTGTGACCTGTTCAGACGACAGTTGTGATGTTTAGATAGTTAGTCAAGACGACTGCTAGAAACAATAGGATATTGATAATGTTAAGTCAGAATAGAAAGCTTATGCTAACCAGCCAATACTCATGAAGGCTGCGTAGGTTGCTCGATGATAGAAGAGGCACACCTGTATATTGTTCTACATAGTTTTTTATACACAGAAATGAAAGACAAACAAAATTTTGTAGTACAAAATAATTTCTCGGAAGGAGAAAACTAACTTAACAGATTGTGCAACAATTATGAAATCGACAAATTTTTGCACCATGACACTATTATATGCCACTAATAAAATTTCGCTGGTGTTGGAATATGTACTATGGAATAAATTCGAAGGTCTATCTCAAACAAATTTTCAACTTTGAAATATATCACTTTACATGAAAAAAAAATCTCAAATTCAAACATATACACAAGTATTTTAATAGAAAATCTGCTGAATGAACCATTATTGAATTTTTAAATAAATGCAAAGAGGGAACATTTAGAAAGAAAATAGATTCGTATCTTAAGTTACTTCAAAACATTGTTGACTTAGACCTTGAAAGAAAAAGAAAAGAAAGGGTGCACGAACTTCTTGATGCATACAAGGAGGCAAGTAAAGAATTTTTGTTGAAATGTAAATAGGAAATAAGTGGCGTGGCCAGAATTCTTTTCACTTCTTGCTATTCAAAACTTTTCGTTGAGCCACAAAACTGGTGCTAGGATACAGGGAATTCTTCTCGCTCACCTGTGTTTAAGACTTTTGCTAACCTGGCATTGGTTCTATTAGGGCACAGAGGACTCTTCTCGCTCATCTGTGTTCAAGTCTTTTTGTCAACCTAATGGGATGAAAACTAAATAGAAATTTTAGACATACCAATTGAGAATATTACTAATTCAAATCTTTTATGTTAGAGACCCTATCATAATTATCATGTAGCACAAGAATGGGAGAAGAAGCATAAATCTGTCAGTGGACCTTCAATTTATTTCTACCAAATTACAGATAGTTCAGTAGTTGGGATTAATAGTGGATCTTTCTACGTTAATAGATCAAAAAGAAACCATGAAGAGGTATATACATTACTTGTATTTTTTAGTCATAAGTTGGAAATCAGCAGAACTAATTATTTTGTATTTCAATACTTTAGGATGATTTTAAAAACCCGATCGAGCAAATTACAAAAAAAGAACATCAAACTAAGAGTGGAAGAAAAATTCCGGACTATCATAAACTAACCTCCAGTTCATCTGAAGGAGATGATAATGTAAGTTTGTGTTATTTCTAATATTATTTTTCATTAACTGACCTTATATTTATATAGAATTTAATTGACAATTTCTTTCAGGCAAGTTTTAATTATGAACAGCTGATTATTGAAGAAAAAACATCAGCAATCTATTCAACAAAAAGGGTGGAGCTAAGTGGCTCTTTATATATTATTATTTTTTTTTTTTTGGTATTAAGATGACCTCTTTGGTCTTTTGACTTTTATTAATCACTTATCGGTATTGTGGTTTAAT